CCCCCCCCCCCCCCCCAATCACACACGCAACACACACCCTCTCAGTGGTCAACGCAAAATAGGAGGAGAGAGAGAAAAGGAAGGGGTGTGCAAAGGCAAAGTGGGGAAGAATGGAGAAGGCGAAAGGGAAATGGGCGGCGCTGGATGGAGTTAATGTTTGTGGAGGAGAATCTCGGAGGGATGAAAGGAAATGTTCAGAAGGATAAAGAGGAGTTGAGATAATGAGTGTGGTAGGAAGAGAGAAGGATGTACAAGTGTTTTAGAAATGGGTTTGTCTATGCACTCCCTGTGGTGCTGAAATGATGAATCAAGTCATTGTTCAAGCTGTAAGAATTACACAACAATGAAGAAAATGGCTACAGCTTTGAGTGAGTATTAGAAATCCAGTGACCAGTTTTGGCAGATTTTACGCCAAGTCATCCTTTTACAGCTTCCAACCTGCTGTAAAAGTAGCCCTTTTAAAAAAAAAAATATTTTGGATTTCCATCCAAAAAGCAATACCTCTGGTCTTCATAAGCATAACAGGGCTCCCAAATCCTTTAGATTGTACAATGTTAAAAAGCTTCACTTATATAACCAGATGTAAGCTGTGTTATAATCACAGAGTGTTTCAGCCAAGTTGTAATAAACTTAAAGATAATTTGGTTTTATGTGTTATCGGTTGCTGCATGTTGAGCCAATTAAAGCTGCTCTATTGTCTCTATATTTACATAGTAATGGACTTCAGGGGTGGATTCATTAGAATATGGTATAAATTTGGCCTAACTGACATTTCTAAAAGCACTTGTGTTTTCTGACACGATATTCTGCCGTCTCCAGCTTATGATAAAGATTGTTTACATACAAGCTCCTTTGCCCTCAGGTCTGATTACTATTGTGAGTAATTGTGGAGTTTGGAAACAGGCAGCTGGTCCAGCGGGGCAGTTTCTCTGCGCCTTTGTTATGGGGCCGACCCACCCAGCAGGGAGACAAATGTCCAAGACTCTGCAAAGTGGGAACGAAAATGTCACAAGCAGACTTTGGCAGTTTAAAAAAATTACCTACGACATGTTGACCGTTGGAACAGTGAAACGTTGTTTTTTTAAGGGTCGGTTTTGAAGAAGCCCTTTGAATGAATGTATATCTTTAAAAATGTGTTTTGTTTTTGTCTTTCTTGAAGGTGACTTCAATGCTGACAGAAGAATAAGACATTTTGTGCGGAATGAGAGTTTGATCGCAGGGAGGCGCTCTGCTGTTGTTGTTCCCTGTCTCCCAGTCCCTGCTACTCCACCATCATCCACCATTAATCCAACACCTCCCCACCAAAACACCCTTCACCCCGACTCTGAAGGACAACAAAGCAAGCCGAGCTCTGTGCCAGCATCTCCCTCCGACCCTCGTCCTGCTCCAGAGGAAAAATGTGAAGTTCAGGAGAGGGAGCGACAGCCTGCTGTGGTGTCTATCACAGAGTCCAACTGGAGGCTTCATCTCCGGCCTGCTGGACCAGAGCGCTCGCCGTCGCCGGCCTCCACGGCTTCACATGGTTCTCTCTCAGATTTTAGTCGTCCACCTTCCAGCTTGTTCAGCCGGAGCACTGACCTCGCCAGTGGCAGGAGCAGTGTCCTGTCCGGTAAAACCTCGAGTAAAACTTATTATTATTCAGTTAATCAATGAATCATCTGAAAATGTCAATCACAAGTTCCCAGAGCTCAATATGATATCTACATATTGCTTTTCTATTCAGTGTTATAAACATATGATATATAACGGAGAGAAGCAGCAAATCCTCACATTTCAGAAACAAGAACCACAGAATATTTTAACATTTTTGCCTTATAAGCCATCAATAATTGGTTAATGAACCAATAATTTAAGAAGTAATCTCTTTCAAATGCACCCTTGAAATTATTCAGCAAGGATGAAAGATGGATGGAGAGAAAATACGCCAAAATACGGTGTAAAATCACACATTGTAGAGTTATTAATAAATACATACATCGTATGCGTAGAAATCATATCACTTTAATAGTTTGTAAATGTATGCTGGAAATAGTAAAAAAGTATTTTTTCAATCTTAAATCGTAACACCTCACTTTAAATTCCCCTATTTAGCATTTATAAGTAGTAGGCCTATATATAAAGATTTATTAGATGGTTTACAACACATTATGTAATTATAAGCAGATATAAGTATTTAAGTGTTTGTCAACAACTCTAACTCATCCTGTGGACACTGTTAAGTGGACGCTGGTGTACAAACAGATAATGATGGTGGCATCTCCGTGGCAACATAAACACACAACCATCCGATTGTTGTTAGATTCAGATTTTGGTCAGTTGGGATCGATACTGGTAAATGAGTGACATCACGACGCAAAATAAAAAAAAAAAGTTTGTTTTTCACTTTCTACAACAAAAAAATCAAATTACAAGCAAAAAAAACAGCAATTTTTAATGTTTTGAGACAGAATGTGTGCATTTACAAGACATCAGTGCCAAATGTAGAATTGCCAGTTTGCCAATATTTCTTTAGCCCAAGCTAAAATGTCTTTGGAACACTACTTTGTTATGACTGTCTTGGCAAAACGAGGCCTGTTATCTGCAGAAATCTCACTGTGAGTCCTCATTTGTGCAGTCGATTAAGCTACCTTCTTTTCCTCCTTCCTTCCTGTTGTTTTGCAGCAGACATCAGGGACCTAGAAGGCAGCATTTGTTCCTCTCCACTCCGGCCATCTCCGCCTTACTCTCCAGCAGGATCCAACCCTCGCCGATCATCCGCAAATACTGCGACCACCCCTCAACTCTACGAACCACTCTTTGGTCAAATCAAACCCCTCTCAACTCGCCCAACGTCTGCCGTCCTTCCTCAGTCAGACAAACCGATGAGCAGGCTTGAAAGCTCAAAAACAGCAGAAAATCTCCACCAAGATGCATCTTTAGATCCTGCTCTCAACCCATCCTTGGACTCCGATCACGGTGTCATTACCCTGCCTTTCCCCTCCGCTACTTGGTCTTCCTGCCCAAGTCCACAGAGGACCACTCCCCGCTCAGGGTCAGGACCAAAGCTGACCCCTTCTGCATCAGTGACTCAGCTGGAATCCCATCGCTGGCCTGTCCTGCCCCCTATCTCCCCTGTCAGAGGTGAGAAATGAGACCTGCCGGCCACATATGGACCGTTCACAGCCTCCTCCCTGCCCATAGTCTTAGGAGCCTGATTGTCCTGAACATGGCTGGACATCCACCCACAGACAAAGCCACTGGGCCAGACACAGAGAATTCAAAGCCTGCTTCAATAGTGAGGCGTTCTGATGCTCCTGCCCCCATCAACACATTGTGAAAGCATTGCTGTCAGGCCTGTTTTTCGCCCCCCCCCCCTTAATAAATAACGCAGAAAGCTTTTATTTTTCCTCTAAATCAGCAATAGAAAGGAGGGCTTTGATGAAAAGCTGGTACCGTTTGATTCCCCGTTCAAAGGCATGAGGCCCCAACAATAGAAGTCGGGGTGCCTACCTCGTGTGCTGTGCCTCTCAGCCTCGGCTCCCCCGTGCCTTTACTATTCTCTGGGCTCCGAGAGGGAGACGTGTAGCCGATGGTCATAAATCCACACTGACCACTGCTCGCTGACGGCAGAACAGTTAGGACGAACGCCACAATAGAATACCTCTGCGGCTTTCCTGCAGACGCTAATTTACCGTTCCCAATGGGGATAAAGGACAGGGCCACTGACATCTGACTCCTCCTGGAACTTTATGAAAGAAAGCAAACAATGTGGAAATTGTGTAGGGATTTTCTCTTTTCTATCAGAGACATCTACTGTTCTCTGTGTGGTGCTGTACTGCAGGGGGGCCCATGCTGTATCGGAGCACGCTGTTCTCTTCACGGCAGACACAGAGCGAGTGTCACTGGTTCATTTATTTCACCGCAGATGGAGGCAGTTCAAGCTCAATGTGGCCTCAATGTGGCAGCGTGTAAAGCTTAAAGGATGAATCTGGTTTTTTACAACTTGGGTCTATTTTAATAGCTTCGGACATAATTTCCAATTGTTATGATAACTTTGTTCTCACCAAAGTAATATAAGAACATCGCTACAGTGAAGTCCGATGGGAAAAGAAACCACCATTTGACAGGTTGTAAATAAGCCAATAAGCTTTATTTGGAGGTGAAACCAATAGTGACCACACCCAAAATGTCTGTAAGAATCAGGCATTGCACAGGTACTACTACTACTACTAGTAAATACAGGTTGACAAAGTTGAACCAGAATTGCTCTATAAACCAAATAAGTTAGGGCTAACTTGGTGGTTAATTTAGGGCCATGTTCGTACAGACAACATGACATTTCCCTGTAAAAAATTTCAGCCCTATGATTCATTTTATTGAGGTCATTGCAGGTGTGTCGATCCAGAGGGCCTCCAGAGGGCCACAAAAGTTAAATCTGGTCCAACTTTTGCGGCAACTCATTCAGCGGTAATTCAACAGTGCTAGTAGTAGTACAAATAGTAGCGGTAGTAAACCAACATTCCTGGTTGGCTGTTCATGTCTCACCTGTACCTGATGCAACATGCCCCCTTCATTGCAGATGCATGGGGTGTGTGTTAATTCTTACATGCCCAAATGTACATTGGAAGAGTTTTTAGTCACTGTAACTTCTTAGAGCACTTTTATTGTAAGTAAAGGGGACAATATCAATCAGTCAACATGTTTCATGCATAAATTAATTTGAGAATTAAGCTGAAGTTAATATGAGGCTTCTGCAGTCTGAGTTAGACAAACCAAATCAAGTGGGGACATGCTGTTCATGGAATAACAAAGAGGTAATTCGACACACAAAAAGGTTCCCACTTGTTGAACGAACTGAGAACTGTATATTTTGTCTCCCATCACTTACACATTTAAATCACTTTAAGAACAGATTTCTTTTCTGCCACCATCTTAATGTCTTTAAGATAGCCCTGTTGCATTGACCACTATTGCCTTGACCACTATTGCACTGACCACTATTGGTTAGGACAATGCCATTATTACTGCTCAAACTTAAACCATAAAGCCCAAGTTGTCATAAACTCTAATAATCTTTTAAGATGTTATGGAGATCTCCCAAAAAATCCTTTCTTAAAAAACTGGCATTAGTAGATGAGGTGGTCTGTTTCTGCAGCAACTAATCAGGTGACCTGGTATACATACTGTATATGGCTGCTGAGGCTGATGGGAGTCTCTTCATCCCGCTTAGCCCCTTTTGACCTCCAGCTTGACTTTTCACATCCCCTACAATCCATAAAGTGACCCCGAGCCGACCCGTTTTGAGCAACATCTCCAGAGTGTAACTGTCCTTGACAATGAAGCAGGGCACTGTCCTGGCCTGGCCTGGCCTCTCCACTCGGGGGCCTTTTAGCTCGGCACTGTGACCAGGAAAAGAGGGCCACAGGCACACAGAGAAAGCCTTGTCTGCCTCTAACTCTGTCATATCAACTCATTCACCCCCCACCGCCACCCTTAACCTCCCCGAAAAACTCACCCTGACTCAGTGCGGCCCTCTTCTGCTGAGAATGACAGCTGAGTTGACAGCAGCAATATGCTTTGAAGTGTCAAGTCAAGTCCTTC